TCTTTTCGGTTGCGGATATTTTTCAGTGGCTCGTGGTCTGTATGGAATGTTACTTTTCCTTCACAACAATACACTCTCCATTTCCTTAGGCAGCTGATAATAGCCCAAAGTTCTCTATAGTAGCGTCCCATCTTGTATCCGCCTTGGTAAGTGTCTGGGAATGGAACGAGATGGGGCAGATTTGACAAATTTTATCCACCTTATCTTATCTTATCTTATGAGGATTCGTTGCGACGCAACAAGGCCATCGAATGAGTCGACCACCTTTGTTATTTTACTTCGGCATTACCTGCATTACAATGTAAACCAGCACTTTCAAGGAAGAGCTTTACAAGAAGCCAAAGGATCGTTCCTAAGGCCAGCAACGGTTAAGGCACTATGCCACACTTTCTTCGCCCGAGGCTTCGCTGTGTTGATCAAGCACAGCTCCTCATTTAACCCTCACACCCGATTTCTCGAGCATTCGGCTGAGTGAACCGTGGGGCTACATAGACCACTCGGGATCCTTAGCAGAGCGTCAACGACGCTCACCCCACGACTAGGCAGGCAGTGGGATTCGAACTCGCAATCTTACGATTACAAATCCGATGATCAACCAACTACGCTACCTGGCCGTTAGAGCATACCTCCCACCGCAATGCCCGAGGCATCAGTCTGTATGTGAAACGGTTCCTTCCACTTTGGAAGGTAGAGGTTGTTCACATTGCCGAGCTTGTCCTTTAACACAGTGAAAGCTTCCTCTTGAGTCGCACCCCACTCGAATTGCACTTTCTCTTAAACAAGGGAGGTTAATGGTTTAGCTAGTGTGGAATAATTCTTGATGAATCTTCTGTTGAAATTAGCTAACCCCAGAAATCGTTGGATTTCTTTCTTGTTTTTAGGTTTAGGGAACTGCTTGACTTTATCTATATTAGCTTCAGAAGGACCGACACTAATTCCGTCAATAACAAATCCCAAGAAGTCAATCTTAGTGTAGCCAAATTGGCATTTGTCAACTCTGAGTGACATGTTCATTTTCCTCAATTCATTCATGACGATCTTAAGCATACTCACATGATCTTCCAGATTCCTGGAGAATAGAGAAAAGACAATTTTTTGAGAAAAGACAATTTTATTATTTATCACCAATTCAATACATACGTAATCAATAAATATATATCCGAATAAATTTGATTAAAAATTAAATGATACAAGTATGCTAGCAGCTAGCGCGCTTATATTTGATAAATATTCACGCTGTTAAAATGGGTTTTACCACACCGCCACTCACATTAGCACAGTTGGTGAACGGACTCAGGCGCTGTTAAGCTTTTATGAGCCCTGGTTGACTGCTGAGAGTGGCGAAGGGGCTGATATTAATTTTATCTTAGTTTAACCTCTATTCCAATAAAATTTTAGTTTTGTGTTATAATTATATGATTTTTATGCGATATTTAAGTTACAGCTGCTCGCAATACATTATTGTTTAAAAATTGTTAAATATGCTCGCTATACGCTTAATTTTAGATACCGTATGTATACCCAGCAGACCTTACTGGCTGGCGATATTACTACAGGTGTTTGCGTCTTCACAGCTTGTTGAACTCCGCGCGCGCTCGTTAGTTCATTGCATTTGCACGCTTCAATTATTCCAAGAATGCAATTGAACCACGTACCACGTGATACGATTCAGCCAATCAGAGAACAAGAATCTGCAAAGTTAAGGGGGCAGGGGGGGGTCTTCATGGAAATTTTCTCAAAATCGACTTTTTAGTTGTTTCTGATAGATGGGAGTGATATCTATCAGATGCTTTTAATCCGATAGAAAAATATTGCTCCTAGCAGAAATTATCGCCGGTAGAAGGTCAGCGCTTGTGTGTAATTGTATTGCGCGAGCGATTTTTGATCACGTGCCCTGAAAATCGAGTCTAAAAATCTATCTCCTCCTACATTTTTTGAGCAATCACCCTCAAACTTTCAGGATATGTTCTAGGGATCATTTAGAAGAGATAAATTTTGAGATAGGCCTTTAAACATTTTTTATTCGATTTTGAAAATCTTGGACCTGGTTTTTTGACGATTTTTCGAGGTCCAAGATTTTTAAAATCGAATAAAAAATGTTTAAAGGCCTATCTCAAAATTTTGCCTGGACAATCTCTTCTAAATGATCCCTAAAACATATCCTGAAAGTTTGAGGGTGATTGCTCAAAAAATGTAGGAGGAGATAGATTTTTAGACTCGATTTTCAGGGCACGCGATCAAAAATCGCTCGCGCAATACAATTACACACAAGCGCTGACCTTCTACCGGCGATAATTTCTGCTAGGAGCAATATTTTTCTATCGGATTAAAAGCATCTGATAGATATCACTCCCATCTATCAGAAACAACTAAAAAGTCGATTTTGAGAAAATTTCCATGAAGACCCCCCCTGCCCCCTTAAAGCTGCGCACTTTTATAAGGCCCAAAATAAGACTTTTCGCGATTTTTCAAAATCTACGCTGTCTAGTATCAGGTTGTCAGAGTAATCGTCCAATCCAGAACCATCTTGAGTCTGCTCCTTAGTCATGTTCTTCTTAGCGCTCTTCACAATAGCATCCATATTCCTCTGAAAAGTAGGACCTGAGTTTTTGAGTCCAAATGCCATTCTTAAACATTGGTATTTACTGCGCGGCACGCTAAATGCTGTTTTATGTCTATCTTCTTCAGCGATAGGCACACACCAGTAACCAGCTGCAAGGTCAGGTTGCGTAAAGTATTTTGCGCCTTGGCATTTGTCTATAAGCTCGTCTATGTTTGGTAAAGGATACGAGTCTTTAATAGTGCCCTTATTTAATGAACGATAATCAATTACGAAGCGTTTATCCCCATCCTTTTTATCAACTATGATTACATTGCTGTTGTTATGTATGGCGATACAGACGGTTCAATGATCCCATTCTCCAACATTTCGTCAATTTGGCGGTTAATGTGTCCCATTCATTTTTCAGGGACTCTCCTGGGTTTATCAAAGCTAACTCTATTAGTTTCGCTTACAATATAGTGCTGAGGACACTTGTATTCGCGAGGGGCTTTGGGGTTAGATGCAAAAACAGTTTTGATTTCATCTACCACATTTTTAAGATTACCTACTTCTTCATTAGAAAGCCCCGGGTTGATGTTTTATGTAGGTTGTTTGTCCTCGCTGAGTAGGCAGTATACCCACTGTTCGCCCAGCTTAACGCGACCCTTTTCCCAATCAAATCCGGTCTTCCCAAACTTCTGCATAAAGTCCGTACCAAGGATAACCAAGTCCGGCTGGGCGGGTAAGAATGTAGGTTTCATCCAGTGAGTCTAGGTCCATCCCGAGTGAAACATCACATCACACTGCACTGGGTCCCCTGTTTTCTGCTTACCACCAATCTTGACCATTGTTAATGATCTGACCCGGCGCGCGCTACTTCGTAGCACTTGCCATCGAGAAGAAAACGGCGCGCGCTACTTCGAAGAAATTTAGACGAGTAACATCCGTCAACACCAATCCCATTATTAAAGCCCCCATCTTTAATTTTATCTTCTAGTTCCGGACACAATTCAGCACTGATGAAAAATGTGTTTGCTCCACTATCAAGTAGTATTCTCGCTGCAAGTGCAACTATTTTACCATTGTACTGAATCTGTCCACGTCTAGTCATGAGTTTGCTCTTCTGACATTGTCTTTCGGTTGCGGACATTGTTTGTTTCCTCTAGACTGCCCCTTTGGGTGTCCCATTGGGCTTGAGGAAAAAGTTAAAATATAATATAATATTTGTGTTGATACATGTTTCGTATCCCAATATCAGAAATAATATTTTCCGCCTTCGGCGGCGCGCGCGAAAAGTGGCATGCAACGTATGTCAATATTTGTGCTGTGCTGTGTATGCTTCAAAATTCGTGATCGTGTTCATGTTATAGCTTGCGGCTGAATGACAGGCTGACATCATGTATGTTGTAGCGCGATGCACGTTACTGTTACTGTGCCGCGCACTCATTTATGCTTCTCGCAACGATCGCTAGATCGGCAAAATACACTACTGTGTCTCGCCTAGCTAGCTGTGGCGAATTGACATCGTCAATTTCACCTAACCATGTGCTTTCGCGCCACTTCGGGCGCGCGCTACTGCAAGCGCAAGGGCTCTGGATATAGCAATCTGCAATCGTCAATTAAGGCTGACAATGCGCTTACTAGTTTAGCTCTTTCTAGTCCCCTGCTACACGGCATGTAAACAGGGATTGGCTAGTTAGAGGCGGTCTGTGTAGGCCTTACACTGTGCTTTCAGCAATACTCATACAATAGACTGATTCGGGTAGCTGAGCCTCGCGCTCTAAGTAAAGGGGCTTTAAGTTAAGGGGCTATCAAATTAGGTTATAGAACTTTGTATCACGTCGTGACCCCCATTGTCGTTTAACTAATTGTAGCCACGTACTCGTGTGTGGCAGGTCTACAACTTATGAAAAATAAAACTTACTTAGCTTGCTAGTCTATTGCTGGCTTCTCCCGGCCTGATCGCTTTCTGTTCAGGAAGCTCGAAAAGAGCGCCGCGCACAGGGCCGGGATTGCCGTACCAAGATCATGATATAATAGAATGTTCGATAGACTTTGTTCTTCATAGCCTCACGTTGTTGGTTGTAGGCCCACCGCGCAGCTGTATCGTGGCTTTTGCCCCGATACTGCCACTGGTGAAATGACAATGGGGTCACGACGCGATAGAAGTTCTTCCCGGCCCAGATAGGTGCAATCTAACGGTGTCACGCTGATCTGTGGTGGTTGCGATAGAGTTAGCAGTTAGACTTTTTCGATGCGCGGTTCAATCACCATTGTGCATTGCATGCTCATGCAGTAGTTCATCGTGCTTTTTTTGGCGGACGTCTTAAGGGGTCGTTCACATATTACATAATCACTTTTTGGACAATTTCCCCCCCCCCCCCCCCCGTATTAGTAGATCAAGATGGTCACTAACTTTAAGTTTGGAATTAGTTGTTAGAGACAATCAAATTGTGAATTTCGACAAAGAAATCTGCTTAATTTTATAAAAATGATAGAAATTTACATCATAACAACTCGGTACAAAAAGTCAATTTACGTTGAAAAATACAAAAGTTACCACTAGATCCATCGGCTATTTTATGGTTTTTGGTAACCAAAGTATCAACATCAGGGAAGAATGTTAAAAATCAAATATCCCACTACAAATTGTCATAATGTATTAAAACACCCAGAATCGTCTCTTTGCTCTAGAGTATGGTGAAATTACGTTCTCCTTTTTCATTAAGTTAATAAAAGATCAGCAAATTGGCGATAAATCATCTTGTGAACATGAAAAAAGTTCTCATTTTACATATCTCTCTATATGTCACGCTTGTGCTCCGTTCTTTACAGCGTTTTTACAAATGACAAGCATTAATAAATAGATAGATTTATATACAATTTTTGGTACAGTCCAAAAAAATTTGTCACATGGTTACTGAACTTTAAGCCAAATTATGGTTAATACTACATATTTCATTATATAATGCCGTCAGAGTGTGTAACCACAATGCAATATGATATTTAACGAAAACTGTTGGTATAAACTTGACTGGTAATAATATTATACACAATCCCTAAAAAACTCGCCTAATATAACAATCAGGCAATAAAACAGTCCGATAACCCTTCTTAAAAACACGACCAACCACACGTGGACATCACAGAGGAAATGACAGGATCAGGGACCGTGCGGTTAAATAATATCCATCAACTGTTTAGTAAAAGCTAATCGAGTCTAGTGAAGTAATGATCAAAGAAATAAATACTTAAAACATATCAAGCAGAATATAACGTCAGCACCATTGGGTCCAGTTAAGTTGAGTGACATTAGTGATATCAGCTTGCCGAGAATTTTAGCATTATACAATCTAAATAAAACCCAAACGATAAGGTAACGAAAGTATCGTGGTATCTGGTGACACTCAGAATTTGACAGGGACGTTTTGACACCGCGCGGCTTCCTTTTTCTTCAGACCAGAGCCAGCCCACAGAAACAGCAGTCAACTAGAAGCAGAGTAAGGCCCTCTCGGGGCGCGTAGGGAAGATCGCTAGCTGCCAGGGTCCCCGTTCGTAGTGTCCAGGGTGGCGGCGGACAGAGGGTCCCGGTCTTGGGTCAGTGCATTCCTCAAGTACCCGCTCTTAATTCGATTTTTACCAGCAGGACGCTCACTGTGTCGCCTGAATATACCGGTCTTGTGCTCACCGCTGGAGTTATTCCGCGGTAACGTTCTGCGATGATGTCACGTGAGGGTCATTAAAAAGGCATTCTTAGATACATGTCGCAATATATGTCTGTCCAGCCAGTGATACCTTTTTCAAAGAAAGTGATTTGTCTGTCAAGTTTTCAGGACGATCGTCTGCACGTCCTACGAGTCAACTGTCATGCAATATTTCTCAAGTTATTTTATCGGGGCCAGCCCGAAAGTTTCAAGTATATTCAGTGTCATCGTTTTGGGAACTTATAGTCAGACAATTTCCTAATGGACTCCGGGACTATAACTATTCTAGGTGGGGGGAGTCTGGGGAGAAGAGGATCAGGGGGACAATCTGATCCCAACCTCCTGCACCTAGATCCTACATCCTGTACTGTCGAGGTGTCAGGACTTGTTTCTGGACTGTTGCCACACGTGGCACACGATAACAGGGAGTTCTTTCGTGAGGAACAACATTTCGAATTGGGTCGAAGAGCAGAGCTGTCTGTCAGTGTTTCTGTCCGATTGTCCGCTGTACGTATGTCATGCAAGGAACACTTGATGTTTTCGTCACTTGGGCACTTTTTAGTAAGTTTGGGATTGCTTTTGTTTCGTTTTCGAACCTTTAAACTACTGAATTTACGTTTGGGGAAGAAGGTAAAGCGAGTGCTGGACATGTTTGATAATTCTTGTGTATCAGTCACGGATTCTATGTCAGGGGAGCCCGAGTGAGACACCTGGGTCACCTTGTCCTCAAAAGGGTTCCGAGTTGGTTTTGTCATAGTGGCAACTGTCGAGCTTTTTAGCCGTTTCCTGAAGAAATATATTCAGTTGTCAGTCATAGAGGGGTTTTGGGAGCAGGCGGTATTGTTCCAGTTGTTGGTATACGTTAATGTATTTTCAAACTGTCGTGGTACTACATACTACATAGACGTGGGTTTTGTAGATACTGTTGGGGAGAAGAACTAAATAAGTTTTGACACGTGACAGCGATTCTCAACTTGTCAATTCTGGAAGCTGATTGGTTGATCACAGCCACAAATGAGAAAAGATGTGGTTCCCCTCCCCAGCAGTATCTTTAACTCATGCTATCCAGCAGGGTTAGACTTTTTCAGTAGTCTGTGGTAGATGTCGCAAAATTAAATAATCACCCCACATAGACACACATGCTTAACACCGCGATCACACATGCAATGCATCTTCGCTGTTGTAAATAGTTACAATAATCAACATAGAATTCATTTAGCGGGAACTTTCACGTGACTTTGCTCAGATGCTCGTATTAAACCGAGGCGAAAATATTTATTGATAAACTTTTTGATGTTATGATTTCAATTTTTAATATGGTATCTTTCCGGAACTCTACATTAAAATCAAAGAACGTCTTTTGAGGGGTTGTAGTTCCCCAAAAAATGTAAAATACCGGCGAGGACTGAGCAAGGTCACAGAAAGAGGTCCCGTGTTATTACATGCTGAGAATAAGTCATCTTTTTTTTGACACACGCAAGCCCCTCTTTGATAGAATAGTCTCACCTTTACCAACGTAGTGCCCTTTACAGCCCGCTGAGGGATCAGCAACATTAGGTCACGTTACAAGTTACACTTGGTATGTCACACCTTACAAGTTACAATTCACATGTGACGTGAAATGTGACACTATATAGTATACATCACAGAGGCCGAGACAGTAAAATTCACATTTTGGAGGACTTTGCTTTTAAACAAATGACACAAACACATTTATAAACAGCATGACGTCACCATTATATTAAGAGGACGGAGAACACGGTTTAAAATACCAATATTTCATGTGATCCTTGATGTGAGAACCTCCTGTATAATGTTACTGACGTGTCGTAATCTTCTACTGACGGGTATGTTACAGGATTTAAAAAACCCTGTATAGAACTTACTGCCGGCTAAGAAGACTACTTTACCGTCAGTAAGACCAGTACCCCGTCTAGTAACCTATTGACGTAACAAGATACAAACAGGAAAAAACCCCATCTATTATTGGTCTTAAAGGTGCACTGATCGATGCCGCCACCAGGACGCTAACAGTTACTCCTTTATCAGCTATGCCCTTATCACCCGTAGTCAATTGATTTAAATTAGTTCGATGAGATTATACAAACAGGCAATCTTTCGACTTGTTTGACTTAGCCATCGTTTTACCCCAATCGTTGTGCCCAAGGACCAACGGCATCAGATCTTGTCAGCTACCATTGATATGCCAGCAATTTGTCCTGGAGCTCAAGGTTCGAGCAGGAAAACGGTTAAGTTGTAACATAAAATCACTTGAAAGTGGATGAAGGGATAACTGATAGCTGCATAGTGACGTCATATAGTGACTTATGTCATTCCACCTTAGTGTAGAGAATTCTAGCCTAATACCGCAGACATTATTGCAGTATAAGCTAATTCAAAGTAGAAGAAAGCGCACATTTTGGCGTTTGTATGTTCGATTACATGAAACTTTGACCTTGAAAAATGTTATTAAAGTCACACTACCCACCTATAATCCGATTAGCATACTGTACAGTATTATCAACTTGAAATCAAGCAGAGTGCGTCTTCAAAAACAATTTGATGTCAAATTTGAACTATACTGCGAAAATTTAGGGAAACATCAATTGAATAACAAATCTGAAAGACAGTATGTATTTTAAGGCACATAAAGTTCAGCATGAAGACGCACTCAGCGCTTTCCTCACATCTCACACATACCTTACCCAAACTCTCCGAGCTACAGAATAGCGCACAACGACTCGGAGCTGGGCGCAGTGCTCTGCTCGGTAAGGCTCGGCTCGGCAGCGCTCACCTCACTGCGCCAAGTCCTGACACTTCTAAAACTTTCACTCGCTCTACTAATACTGACTGCATATCTTGGGTTTCAAGGTTAGCCACGGTTCCAGCAGTCGTTTCTGGGATTAGCCCAAAAAAGTGCAAAGGATAGCAGGTGCATTGTTCTGTTCAATCGTGCGTGATGTGATTCAGCCCAACCCATGCAGTGATCGAAACTTGCAAAACTAGCGGATCAATTTGCATGCCCAACCCTGCAACTTAAAATTTCGTGATATAATGCATTTGGCTTGTTACCCGCGGAAATTAGATTTAAAGATTTGCCCGACATTGAGAACCCACTCCATGCACGATAGTAGGCACGAACCTGACAGAACAACGCGCATGTTCCTTGCACAGTGCACGTGCAATGCTTTTCATAGGAACATACCTGGGCGAGACTTTAGAGTCGACAGAGGTGGCCACTGCGGCGTTCTGAGAGTTTTGGCAATCAGCGATGGGATCAGAGTAATCAGACATATACGTGATCAGACGGAGAAAACAAGCCGCTCGGCGCTCATTGATTGGGGTTCAGTCATTTCAGCTAGCACAAAAATATCATTTTAATTTAAAAACAAGACTCACAGGAACATATCTGTTGAGCCTTTCCACCCAATATTGTTTAGTTTTAGGATCATCTGCGAGAAGGAGAAGTGCGCGCACTCCGCTCTGACATGCCGTAAGGTTGCGCTCCTCTTGCTCTACGTGATTCTTGTGTACCTTGTACTGACACCTCTGACACTCGTAAGCTTCTGTCTTAAAGAGGCCCTTGAGCTTCCTGCTGCACATGTCACAGTTCATCTGATGGTCTGCGATAGGCAGGGCCATGAAGTGGTGTCCGTTAAACTCTATGCCTGACGAGCCGCTCTGCAGGAATGAAGATCTCTAGAAACAGCAGTTAGAACATTTATAAAATTTGTTGCGAAGAAACTGTCAAAACCAACAACAAAGAGATCAAGTTTTACCCTGAAAAAAGTTATGATTTACTCACTACTGAAACGTCGAGGTCGGCAGCCGTTCTGTCGTCGCTGAAGAATGATATCCTGAAAAGGCGAGGGACGTTTTTTGCGCTGATCCGCCACAACTCCCCGTGTTCCATGGGACGCACTGAGTCTACCTTGTTTATGTCTATAGCAAGAGAGAAAGCCTTGTTCGTTTTGTCAGCCTCGCTGTCGTACAGGAATATTTTAGTCGGAGTACAAACTGCCAGAGATCGTTTCCAGTTGTTCGTTTTCTTCAGATTCTTGCCTGCGAATTTTAAATCAGAAATCGCGTTATTTCTTACTAACATAGGCACTCCGAAAACATAAAGCAGAAACATTGGTCGTTCAGTGCCGAAAGACACATGAAACATTTTGAATCAACAATTACAAGAAATTCAAGATATTTTACCAATCGGGGTTGAAAGGAAGCTTTCAAGATTTGGTTCAAGGACAGTCCTTTTCACATCTTCAGGCTTTCCAGATTCTTCTTTGTCCTGAAATTGATATATATTTATGAAAATCAGATTTCTAAATTACGGGATACATAATATGTTTCCTAGTTACCCTATTGGCTATTTCTTAACTCTTTCAAAGACTACAACTGCGAAAAGAAAACCATGTTCCTCGATATTTAACAATTAACATTCGAACTCTCATAACTTGTAAAGAACTCACCCCAGATAACATAGCGTATAGTTTCCTTTGGAGCTCCAAGATCTCAGTTTCCTTTCTAGTGAGCACGTTTTTAAGCTCGTTATTCCTATTGTTTGCTTGATCCAGCTCTTTGTGAACCTTCTCAACCTCTTTAGCGTTGTTGTTCTTGATTGTTTTGACATTTTCCTCATGGTTTTCTATTTGCTGTTTGAGCTGGCGGTTAGTCCTCTGCAGGCGTTCTAGCTTTATTTTCGAGTTGTCTTTCACTTCTGGAACACGCTTTTGCATAACCTGAGAGTTGAGACAACGAAAAGTTATAATAACAAGTCAGTACTTCTGCAATCAGCTCATAGTCATATTGACTACGAGCGCTGTGATGCTGATTCTTTTAAGTTTCAATGATGACCTGATTTAATAACCTATAAGTACCAGAATCTAGAAAGATAACAATGTAACCTGCTCAAGTTTCTTGATCGTTTCGTCCTTGATGATCTTCTCCATCTGAAGTTTCTTCTTCAAATCTGCCATTTCTTTGGCCATCTTCTCAATATCCGCAGCTACTTCTTGGGACGATCTTTTCGCTTCCTCTTCTTTAACCTCGACCTGAACACCATCAAGATTAATTGTTTGTTGACGAATGAAAATTCACAAAAAAAACACATACTCGCTGCTCTCGAACACAATTTCTTAGTAAACTATACAGAAGAAACTGAGTGGAGTTGGGTTAGAAACATATAAGAGATACGATGATTTAACTTGTAGAAGCTTTCAATAAACAGGATATACAGAAGAAAGAAACGTAAATTTGCTACATACTTGTTGTTGATCTCTGAGATAAACGTCATTCTGTAGCACCTCTATATTCTGATGTAAGCTCGTGATCTTAGCGTCCTTTTCTTTTATCACAGTCGATTGTTGCTCCTCGATCAATGTCAGCTCGTTTTCCTTGTCCTTGATTTGCTTCAACAATTCTTGAACCTGGCTCTCGAACAAATCTCTGAAGATTGAAACAGTATAGTATTTTAGGCTACAGTTATAACACTGTATAAGTTACAGTGAGAAGAAACCTATCTGATCCATGAAAACCACGTGTGTTATGATAAATTTGCACCTACATTTTGTCAGAGGAAACTTGAGACTTCAGAAGAGCCCCATCGCGTTCCTCCTTCATCGAGGTGCACTCAGACGATTTAGAGGCGAGCTCCGTGGTCAGGGTCATACCCCTCGTTTTCTCTTCATCCAAAGCAGTGGTCAGTCGCGTCAGCTCGTGGTCAATATCTATCTTCTCACTAGGAATAGCAATCAGTGAAACCGACAAAATCTGGTGTAAATTTCACCACAGCTCAGATTGTTGGTAAAGAATGAATAAGTTTTAATAATATAGTGACTATAAGCGTTCAAGACATGTAAAAGGGTGTTTAGTTAAGTGATCTTATCTTTAAAATGACAACACTAGAATTACATACTCCTTGATTTCCTTGAGCTCCTGCTGCAGTTTAGCAATCTCCTCCTCCTTTGTTAGAACGAGAGCATTCTGATCGTTGTTGTGGTGTTTGAGTTGACTAATCTCTGTTTCGTTACGTTTGCACAGTTGTTCCAGCTCTATCACCTTTTGTTCGCGCTCTTGCGACTTCTCTCTAGTTTCTTCCTCCTGAAATGGAACGGGGGGAATGCAACGTCAATTAATGTCAATTAATGTCAATTAATGTCAATTAATGTCAATTAATGTCAATTAATGTCAATGTCAGTTTTGCAAAATTTTGGAATACTGACATTAATTGACACGATATTTTTCGACCAGAGATTATGTAGTTCTACCATATTTTTAGCACTTTAGAACGTTTATATCATCAATTTATTCACTACTATCACATATGGAAATGTGAAATGTGAAAAAAATTCAGATCATTAAACAATAAAACTAAAATAATAAGGTTTCCCGAAATTTAATTTTCTTAAATGGGCGTGGCCATTCAAGGGCGTGGTTCTCAACATCATCAGAACTTAAAACCCACATTAAACGAAATGCCTTCATGACATTTATATTTGAATAACGAATCTTAAACAGCTAACATTACTCCTTCATACTAAAAAAGCCGATTTTAGATATTTTACCTGTATAAGAAACCAATAAAATATTATTATTTTTTTTTAACGGCCAGGTAGCGCAGTTGGTTAGCCAGCTTTGCAATCGTGAGGTTGCGGGTTCAAATCCCACTGCCTGCCTGGTCGTGGGGTGAGTGTCGTTGACATTCAGCTAATGATCGTGAGTGGTCTATGCAGCCCCTCGGTCTACTCAGCCGAATACTCGAGAAATCGGGTGTGAGGGTTAAATGAGGAGCTGCACATTGCAGCAAAGTCTCGGGCGAAGAAAGTATGGTACACACTACCTTAACCGTCACTGGCTAAAAACAAATCCTTCGGCTTCAATTCCTGTTATTGGCTGGTTGCACTTGTGTAACAATATGGCTGTTGGAATACTCCGAAGTAAAATAAGTGTCTAGATTTTTAAAAATGGGCGTGGCCGGTGGGGACCGAAGATGGAAGAGTTGGAAGCTGAAATTTGTTTGGTGGTCTTTGAACCTAAGGATCAACAGATAAGAACATACTCATAATTATTCAAGGACATTTTGTTTTTTTGAACCGGTCTAACTTACATAGACGTGAATATCTTGAATATTTATCGAATAATGATAATCTCAAATTTCAAGACATATTAATGTCAATTAATGTCAATTAATGTCAATTAATGTCAATTAATGTCAATTAATGTCAATTAATGTCAATTAATGTCAATTAATGTCAATGTCAGTTTGGGGTTTTTATGGAATACTGACATTAATTGACGTTGCATCACCCCCAATGGAACAGACAGTTAAATATTTGGGGTAGAGAAATTTATTTACACAGAAGGTAGAAAACATGGCCGCTTGAGACTTTGAGTCTACATAAAACTTCATACAATATTCAATTAAAATGTACATAGATTCAGCATATGAAACAAGGATAATTTTTCTCACCTTTTTCTTGAGGATGTTGAACTCATCAAGTGCCATCCTGTATTTCTTATCAGTAGCATTATATTCGATTTGCAGGTCACTGAACTGTTTCATCAAACTGTTCTGATTGTCTTGGGAAGCTGCGGCTGCGCTTAACTGAAATATAATTAGATTTTAAAATCACTGATAACGATTATTGCAACTGCTCAGGTAATAAAACCCAACGTCAAGAAGGCGAATGATCGTAAATTATTAGAGGGCCATTTTAACAAGAACACCCTGTGATCAAAGCGGGCTAAGAGGCGTCTACGATAAATTACAATAACAATAAAAATGGTAAATATGATAAAAAGTTTTTCTTTTGTGAGAGCATTTATCGCACGGTAACGAGATTACATATGATGTAATCGATGAATTCTCGGCTTAGCACACGATTTTAGAGCTGTGAATATCAACGTTCAGCGCTGTATGTGCTGATTCTCCTACACTTCAAGATTCTCTGCTTGTCAAAGGAATGATAAAATAGTTTTCTCTGTGCTGGCTATGCTAGGCTGAGTTCAAAAAACATAAACATACACCGGCGCCAGTGTCACTCCGCCAGAATTTCCATTTATCTTTGTTCTGTAACGGTTATTAAAATTCCTTACATTTCAATTCATCCAAGAAAAGAAAACCACTTCACTTCATGCACTCAGAAAGTAAACATTATCGTTCCTAAGATTTTCTTATTTCTACAACGCGCGTTGGATACCATCCGGTGAAAATGCTAGATCCAAACTACTTTGTATCCTTACGAGGCCTTTTCTGCTAGTACCGAAAGAAGTTTCTATGTTATGGACCTCTACTGTAAACCAATTTCTCTGCTCCAGGGGGCCCAACTAGTGCGAACAACGCAGATCGTTGTTGGACGGAACAGGATGAAACATATCGTGCGATTTTCTAACTCATGAATTTCATGAAAACTCACCGAAGCTGATGCCTTGGCCTGAAAAAAGAAATATGGGTCAATGGGTTAATAAATCATAGTCTTTACTGATTACATCATGACGATTGCACGTAATTTTAACATCGATTACATTGTTTTCAACGCGAATTCTGGTCAATATGAAAAGGTTTAATGGATCAAAGAACTAACCTTCTTCAGTTCAATGATATGACTTTCAAAAGACACTATTTTCTTGGCATACTCCTCCTCTTTTATCTTCAGTTCTGCATTCGTGTCCTCCAACTCCTTGATTTTACCTGGTGACAAATAATTTAGATTCACATTTCACACAAATAGTTACATAAATGGTCACATAATTAGCCTTTCGTGGAAATACGTAAAATATGAATATTTAGATTGAGTAGATGCCATATTCATTAGGGAATTGGACAAGCTCCTGGGGGACCGATATAAAAAAGCAAAGTAAAATACTTTAAATTTGAAGATAATCAGAACAGGAATCATTATTGCCTGTCAGCTTTCTTCTAAATTTATTACAACGTTACGTTAATTACAGTGAATCTTCTAGAACTGGGCCAGTTAACCTCCAAACCAATATAAATTTTGCCGGAAATAAGTTGGTCCGAAACTAGATGTTTATTGCTAATGTAATTAAATTTTCACCGGACGTAAATGTGCCGAATCTTTGTCGTCCATTTCTAATATGGTGCCGGATGATTATGCGGTGCAAAGTCGCACGTATCATAAACAATCAGCATTTCCAACACGTTTTTGGTAGACCAGTCATCAATAATCATCTCGTAATACTTTTGAGTGCGTGCACAGCCCGGCCAGTATAATTGCATAAAATATTTAAAGTATAATGGGCTAAACAGGTTGTGATATTTGACATAGGGGAGGCAATATGTGTGAGCAGAGCATAAAAACAGAACAGCAGAGCTGGCCAACTCATGTAGAATATAGTACATAATTATTGTAATAGTCACAAATGTGTACTATATTAGAGATGTAATAGCCGTGATAACTTAGGGGTGACATATTCCTTTATCAGGGTGCCAATGTCATATATTGTATAATGGCACACACTGAAGCAAATTACGTTACACGCAAATTACGTTACACGCTTATGAATGATGTAATGATAATATGTACAGTATTTAGTGTAGGACAGTGTGTCATGTGGGGGTGTTGGACCTGTATTCCAAATAGCGGGGGTATTATATTGGAATGTTGAAGAGAGGAGCCGCCACCGATTGTAACAGTGTGGATGTGGCGTCTTTAACAAAGAGTGTAGTTAAAGCGCCGTGCGAATCACAGGACAATACAGAGTGTGTAGGGAGATATTATACCCAGCACCGAATTAAAGTAAGGTATGGGTAGCAGTATTTACATGTACAGTGCTGCAGCTAAAATATATTGCAACCCATAATATATAATATCCAGATGTAATATAACTGTGCTGAAATATGTTCTCCAAACATGCTAAGACGTACCATCCAGTACGATGTTTTTGTCCTTTTCAACCTGGACGTTGTTGTACTGCTCCTGAAGCTTTTTCTTGTTGTTCTTTATCGTCGACTCGAGGGCGGCTCTAGCTGCCTTGACTGTCTGTAATTCCTTCTCCAAGTCGCGGTTAGCTGTTTTCAACTTGGCACATTGCTGAGGATTTTGTGAGCTCAGTGTGAATAATGAAGATCAATTAAAATATGTTAGATCGGACAATGCAGATTCAATTGTTGTGTTGTTGTGTTGTGGCATGCTTACATTTTAGCCCGACATATTCACCCGGCAATTACGTTACGGCTGTTATTTCCTACTGTTTATGACTGACTTATTAAAGAAATGGAATGGTAATTTTGAGATCTGCTCCCAGGATCTAGGCTCAGGATCTCCGTCTCAAAAGAGAATGCATCGTGAGTTTGTTTTTATATTCAGACGGCAGTGTTGGATCTTAGATCTATGTGAAAACAAGTGTGAGCGTGCGCCGTCTAACTACCATTAGCAACTGTTACCTGATTAACATCGTTCCACTGGGTCTGGAGGTTGTCCTTCTGCACACTAACATCAGTTAGCTTGTTCTTGGTGGCGTCTAGCTCATCTATCTTGCTCTTTAACTGCTTCATTGCTTCAGCTACGTTATCTACAGATACAAGATATATCAGTACCTTTTCTACAGACTACTACGTTAAACTTCACAGATGTTTCACTGTTATCATGTCAGTACCATCAGGTTTATTATCAATGGTAAGATTTATTTTTGGGGTGCTGGAAATAAGTTGAACCGTGTGTAATAAATAGAATATAACGTTTTAACATCGGAAACAGAAAGTATACAGCAGCGAATTTCTCCGATTAAAGATTGGGCAAAAAATAATCAAATTTAGTTTTGAATCATTGGAACAAATCAAAGATAGTGTACCATTGTCGGATTTTGCAGCTACGATAGTTTTCTGCAGCTCCTCATTTTTAGTCTTCATTCTCTTGATGATTTCCTTATCTTGATCGTTTTCCCGCTTCATCTAGCGAACGATTTACTTAGAAAACAATCACACTATAGATAAAACACTCATGTTGCAACGATTAGCAGATAATATCACTATGATAAGTAGATAATATCACTACAAAGATTACCGTGTCGAGCTGAACTTCGTATTTTGCGATAAGTTGGTCGTTGTTAGTGTTGTTAGCTTCTGCCTCCATTTCAATCAGCGCATCTTTCGTCCTCAACAGCTGTCTTTGTGCATCACTGAAACATTACATTGTTAACGGGGCAAGCTCTCTTGAATTCACTAGATATCACTAGATATCACTAAATATCACTAGATATCACTAGATATCACTAGATATCACTAGATATCACTAGATATCACTAGATATCACTAGATTTCACTATGTATCGATATATTTCATTTTATTCGCTATAAATCACTACATCTAACTATATTTAGATATATTTCACTATATTTCACTATATTTCACATCAGTGCTAGGAACCTCACTACGACCCCGGCCCCGACCTTACAATACCTAGGTGAAGAGAAGAGGCCGCCACAAGGCCACATCCTGTTTAAAGGATATCGGGGAAACACAAACCTTGGCACATTCCAGCCTGGCATACTTGCATAACACCTGCATACCAGAAACTATGATGTACAATGAGTCACCAGACAGCGCCTGAGACTCGTTAATGTTAAGGTTACCAACAAAACCCTGGTACTGTGCGATGCTACTGTTTAAAACACGTAACACTGTGTATCACAGCGCTACATTATGTAGTTATGTCATGTGTTATGAGAGAGTAGAGAGGGAGGAAGGGAGGGAGGGAGGGAGGGAGGGAGGGAGGGAGGGAGGGAGGGAGGGAGGGAGGGAGGGAGGGAGGGAGGGAGGGAGGGAGGGAGGGAGGGAGGGAGGGAGGGAGGGAGGGAGGAAGGGAAAGAGAGAGAGAGAGAGAGAGAGAGAGAGAGAGAGAGAGAGAGAGAGAGAGAGAGAGAGAGATAGAGAGAGAGAGGAAGGAAGGAAGGAAGGAAGGAAGGAAGGAAGGAAGGAAGGAAGGAAGGAAGGAAGGAAGGAAGGAAGGAAGGAAGGAAGAGAGGGAGGGAGGGAGGGAAGGAGGGACGGATGGACGGAGGGAGGGAGGGAGGGAGGGAGAGATGGAGGAAGGGAGGGAGAGATGGAGGAAGGGAGGGAGGGAGGGAGGGAGGGAGGGAGGGAGGGAGGAAGGGAGGGAGGGAGGGAGGGAGGGAGGGAGGGAGGGAGGGAGGGAGGGAGGGAGGGAGGGAGGGAGGGAGGGAGGGAGGGGGGAGGGAGGAGGGAGGGAGGGAGGACTGGGGGGCTTGTATTGTTGAAAAATTATTTCTGATCGCAGGACCTATAGCTATGTTCCTACGAGTTCATGACCATGTGCTTGCCTATAATAATGTTTTCCGGGCATGTTCCTTCCATTAATAAAAAGTCACCAGTTGAGGAAAACGTTTCTATATTTGATACAATCTGACATGTACATTGTACAAAGAACCACTCACCACTTGGATGTGTATTAAAAATAATATGCAATATCTTACGCATATAAATGCCATATTTAGGATAAATTACACTGTACGGCTACCGTTACACACAACTACACACACACTAGTCACTACGCACACACTACCCAGTTATAGGTTTAATTGGGAGGCAGGAGAAGTAGTTGAACACACAAATACACTCCGGCTCTCTTCCCCCAGTTCAATTAACACGGATATAATATGTGTTGGGTAACGAGCCAATTATTATCATATAGTGAGTTAATCACTGCAATTAACATCTCATTAAATCACGCTAATGGATGTATTTTTGTGTACCAAGTGCTGTATTTTTATCGTGACTTCTTAATCAAATTTCGAATAACCGTTGAAATCAACTTGTTCTATTATCGTCAAGTTTCGTCTGAATTGTTTTGTGTTTAATATTGCCAAATCTTGCCGGGAGAAACTCGATTTTTACAGCAGCTGTAATCAGACACTCATACTCAAACCCACTGTTTACACTTAACACACAGCTGGTACGATAACGAAACCTTCCACTTTTGGGTGATTTCTCAAACATCAGAAACCCTCCCCGTCACAATCCCTTCCCATCTCTCAGAAACATTTACACCCAGAAAATTACGGTTGGCAGCATGGAAGTGGGGAACTTACCCACAGAAATCATATTAAAGATATTACATTATCTGCCGTTACGGGCCACATACCAGGTGTGCCGTGTAAACAAGCGACTGTTCTCCCTCTTCTCTACCCCCACCCTGTGGAGCCACTACTGTGATAAGGAGTACGGAACTAGGGTGGAACCACTGCTCGCTCAACACACATACCGGAACTATTTGTGTAGGTACGGGTACAAGAAAAGGAGGAGGAGGGCGGCAGGAACGAAGAGACTTAACTCAGTGACAGTGAGATAATTCAATGTAATGTCGTGCTGGAAATAGTGGAAGAGAGTGTTCCTGGCTCGGGTGTCGAATTTTAAATAGGAGGGCTGCTAAAGTTTAACACATAATAAATCGTTTAATGCTTTCATGTTTGACATGTGCAATGGAATGTCTTTGTAAATAACGTTTTTTTAAACATATGGCAGGCTTCGCAATAAAAGCAAATTTTTAATCTATAATATTCAAGTATTCATATTCGTATATTAGCAGCGAAAGTATGTTGCAGTAAAACAGTGATATGTAGTAGTACAACCGAAATATTTATCTTTTCTACGCTATGTGTCGTGAACTATTTCTGCATCAACCAATTCCAATTTACACAAATTAAATATTTCTTTTTCAAATATCAAGAATTTCTAACAAGTCTTAGATCATCAGATATTCGACAAAATGTCGTCTTATATCATCAGATATTCGACAAAATTCCGTCCTGAACTATGCTGGAATAGTATTTGGGATCGGGAGGAACACGTATCAGCAGGCGAGCAAGACTGCACATAATATAATGCCTTTTATTTGTGAATAATATCACTATAACTCGGAGGAGTCAGAAGAGTCTCGCCAACGTAAAACAAGGAGTTCTTTATCCGGTTATTTAGGAGATTTCTTCTACCGATATTGTTTATATATTGTTATATCAATGTTTGTTTACTTAAAGAGGATTCCAGATCTTTTGGCAGGCCCCCTATCTCCTTCAACCGTCAATCACGGTTTCCTGATCATTCAGCCAAGTCGACCGTGGGGGCTGCATGGACTCAATGAAGTCCTTATATCACCCCAAGAGTAAGTTAATGGAACACGTGTACCTACCAATAACAAATTGTCCAAGATTTAATACCATGACACCACCAGCCCCGATACAGCCAGGGAGAAATCGCCACTGTCAGAATCAAACTTGAAATCTGTTTGTATTCCTTTGATCATATAAAAGCTAAATATTCAAAAGATGGGCTTGGCCGGGAATTGAACCCGGGACCTCTCGCACCCTAAGCGAGAATCATACCCCTAGACCACCAAGCCGTTGTGAAGATAAGAAACAAATCATCGGACACAAAATGTGAATCATTGTTTGGTGATAAGTGTGCGCGTCTTGTCCTCTCCAAAATAGGAAGTACAATCCTTTAATTTATATTAATCTGACTGATTATACTATCATTGAATCATAATATATTCATTATTAAACCTTGCACAAAATTAAGAATTTAATGGGACTTCCGGGTGTTATCTGACGTTATCTCCATCCTATTTAAGTACTGACAGCAGTACATTCTGTATCATAGAACAGAAGTTGGAACCTTTAGTACATGTCAGTAATATTGTGTGATGACACGTTGTGTAAGGAAAGTGTGGTCCGTAATAAGCTATGTAAATATCCACGTGTAATGATAAGATACCAGGATAATAATATGGAGCTTAATAATCATAATTATACATAACATATTATGCGTGTGTACTGTACCCACATACATTACATATTGTTATGTTTGTGTGTACCAACACACATGACACATTCTCGATTATAGTAATCTCGTGGTGTTGAAAATGTTGAGATATGTCAGGAATGATTTGGTTTACTATCAGAGCTGTACACACTCTATATATCATCATATCATACACAGGTACTGTCCTGTACCAACTTGGTACAAAACTAATTTATATATTATATACAAGAGACTCAGAAAACTTGACAGCTGTGCCATGAAAGTTAATGACTCTGACGAAATCTCTAGATTATAATTAACTCGACATAATATACCCTGAATTAAATCATCTGCCAGCTGACACCCTGATCTAATGAAGACCCTAACACTACCAGTGAAGCAGTGTTCTAGAGGTTATTGGAGGTAAAATTAGGAATTATACACTAAAAGTTAGCAACAAATTACATTTACATGTAAGTAGTATAATAAACGACGTGCTGCTGCTGCCGGGCGACAATAAGTTTAAGGAAGAAAAAAGCGAGACTCACTTATACTTGGCAAGATTTTCGTTAGCCTTGTTTCTCCACTGACCAATTTCCTCTTCTATTTTAGCAACCTCGGCAGTGCTCGCGCCTCCGGTCTGGCCCGCAAAGGGCGTGTAGTCGTGCCTATACGTGAACCCAACGAAGGGCAGGTGATTTCCGATAAACCCGGACGTGTTTTCAAAGTTCGTGTTAACATCCTCGTCGTCAAAATCGTCAAAGTTACGGGTGTCGTCGTCACCCTCTAGGGAGAACTCGACAGGGGCGTTACCTGTAAAATGGAGGTGTTCTAGAATCGGATAGTTCAAATATCTGGGAGGGCAGCTGTTAATGAGAATCAATATGCACATCCGGAAATACTGGCACGTTTCAACAGGTGTGTTCAAAACAGGAAGCAAATACTTTCGGTTCATTAAGTCTAAATGTTACAAGATAATAAATTTCAGTCGCATGAACAGACGGACCACTCACAATCTCGAAGGTTCTCCCAGGTAAAATGAGAGTTGTTCTTGATGAAGAATCTGTGCTGTTTTATCTCGTTTACATCGATTCGACCCAGACGGTGCTCACGGCTGGTAAGCAAGTTGCGGATCAGATCGATACAGCTCGGACTCATAACAACGTCGTCTGGGAAGGCCAGGGTCTTCTCATGGTCCATAATGTTGGAGTAGGTTCCGACCAGGGACTCAGAGAAAAAGGGACATTCTCCCACCTGAGGAAACAGCTGTTACTACAAGCTTAATTAATCAGGGTAATTAAGTGGTTAATATTATGTGAGTTATGACATTTTAACTCAGCAATTGCTAATTACTTGAATAGGTAATTTTCAAAGGATCCATTCAAGCCTGCAAGCAACGTATTCTGGAGATACTATTTTGCTAGTCATCAGTCATGTCAAATTATCTACTATCGAACCATGAAATTTCGTTAAAATATGAGCTATCATATTAAATATTATGATTTGAGTGTGTACAGTCTAGAGGAACACAGAAGAGCAATAACGGTATTCTAAGGCAGGGTATTCAGGGGTTTACAGTAGGTGCAATCTAAGACTTCAACAAAAATTAAGACTTGTAAATTTACATCGCAAATTCAGCACTAGACTAGCATGGATAGCTAGGTATTAAGAATGTTGGTAGCCGAAGTGTGGGTTCCTAGTTGGAGTACACTACTATTAAAGTGCGGGTACGCAAAGTGCGGGTACATAAAGTGCGGGTACGCAAAGTGCGGGTACATAAAGTGCGGGTACATACCATCATTTCGTAGAGAAATATTCCGACGCTCCACCAGTCACATTCTTTACCGTACACTCCATCCGCATTTTGAGAGGTGAGCACCTGATGACATGTCGGGACATTAGGTACTGTAAGTTATTAGCTGGTGTGTGTACTATGTGTGTTCTTATTACACCATCAAACACACCCAAATACGTGTGTTACACACGCAAATATGTGTGTTACCGCACTAGAATGTGGGTACATACCAAGGGTACATACCAAGGGTACATACTAAAGATAATAGATATAGCGGGATATATAGCCATTTCTCATCATGGCACTTTGAAAATAGCTGAGCTGGAGTAAGCCAGTTCAAAGAAACAACCGAATTATTTGATTTATAGACTTGATCACGGGCGGGGAGTCAACACTGCTAGATTATTTTCATACGCAATTCCAATCAATAAACAATTAATCTTAACAAGCGTCCAATCCGACACTCACATGGCTGTCACGTGATTCCTTCCACCCCTAGTATCAAGTCTATCAATCACTTGTTATTGCCAGATCAGCGGTAGGTAAAAGTGCGGTTAGCTTTCAAGAACTAAATATAGCTCCAAACATCCGCTCACACACATGACATGAATATTTTGGGAATCCCAGCAATGCTAGATATGTTACTAGATATGTTAGTATGTCACACGCGCTCTAGCAACTCTTACATGGAACTTACAATACACTCGGTGTTAATTCCCGCTTAGTTTGTGTGAGACCCAATCAAGACCCTGCAGCACACACTAATTACAGAGATATACAAGTTTAATTACTGCACAATTAACCAGGGCAGAGTACCAGCTGGTCAGATCTAGAGACTGGGACTGATCAAGGGACCAGGAGCCAGCCACACTGCACCACTAAAACACCCGACAGTAAGTATTCTTGTTAGAGTGTCTAGCCATCAGGTAGAGTTTGTAGCACCGCCCAGTTAGTCTTACGCAATCCCTTGGCGACCATGGCGCGTAACTCTGGCATGAGCCACCGTGCGCGCTTAACCTTATGCCACGTGTGAGAAGGTGGCTAGAGAGAGGGATAGCTGGTAGGGATAGCTGTAGCAGTGGAAGAAGACAGATTAAACTCACATCATCTTTTATCGTGGAGCAAGCGTCCATTATTAATACCTTCGTAGGTTACGGGTTAGCCCGTCATTGAAGCGGTTACTTTTTGAGTAGCAAAAATATTTTTGTGACTTAATAAATCTTCGTACTAGCGATACATTTTTGAGTACATATCTTATTGAATCACAGGGCACTTGTTGTCGTAAAATCAGAATGTTCGGAAGGTAACAATCCGTAAATAATTTCTCAAGGAAGTATCAGTTGTAAAGTTTTTGAAGAATGTAAAGTGCAGATCAAATATTGCGAAGATGCGAAATATGTATTTGAAGATATCTATCAATATGATTCATTTGATATGATGAGCGCGAGCGGTGAATATGAAAGTTCACCATGAAGATATATAATAAGGAATTTGTACCGGAGTACAAATTCCTTACAAATTCCTTGACAAGAGAATTTCAGTCGAACCACCTGCTAGCAAAAGAGACAAGGTAAAGTGGCCGGCGTCCAATGATGGTCGATGGAGTAAGTTTGATGAGTGTGTGGTAGAGAAGTTTGCAGTGGTTCTCAAGCGGAAACCATTTCAAGAGAAGATGGTGAGTCATTGTGATGTAGTGTACGACGAGGGTGTCAAGTTGTTTGGTATTGTTGAAGTAGGTGCTGGTAGTGGAAAGAAGTCCATGAGCTTTAAGAACAGGCGAAAGGAGGAGATTGACAGCCTGATTGAAAAGAGGAAGCAGTTGAGGAGGAAGAAAAGGAAGGCAAGGAGTGAGATAGAGAAGGATGGTTATGAGGCATTATTGAGAGTGTTGGCTGGTCGTTTGATGAAGTTGAGGAGGGCTGAGAAAAGGAGACAGAAGCAGAGAGAGATAAGGAGAGTTAGAGGGGATTTTGGACGCGACCCTTTCAAGACAGTCAAGGGAGTGCTAAATCCAAGTCCAGTGGGGGAGCTTAAGTGTTCAAAGGAGGAGCTAGATGATCACTTGGCCAGAACATACGGAGATCCAGCCCGGCAGCAGCCCCTTGGTATACTTGAGGGTCTGCCTGAGTGTGCTCCTGAACCCTCTGTTGCCTTTGACCTCACAACGGTGTCCAAGAAGGAGTTTGAGGAGGTTGTAAAGAAGGCAAGGAGCAAGAGTGCCCCGGGTAACAACGGGATCCCGTACACAGTGTACAAGAGATGTCCTGGTATTGCCAAGAATCTCTGGGACCTGTTAAGAACTGGATATAAGTTAGAAGAATATCCTGACAATTGTAGGTATTTCGAGGGTGTCTACATCCCAAAGGCGGATGGCGACTTTTCACCAAGTTCAGGACGGCCTATTTCCCTGGGTAACATTCAAGGGAAGATTTATTTGGCGATCCTGGCGAAGAGGTTGACCAGCTTTGTTGTCTCGAATGGATATGTAGACCTCTCTATACAGAAGGGTGGTGTGCCAGGCGTCCGTGGGTGCACGGAGCATTTTGGTGCCATGTGGGAGGTACTGAAGGAAGCAAAGGTCAAGAAGAAGGATCTGAGTGTGGTATGGCTTGACCTGGCTAACGCTTACGGAGCGGTACCCCATGTTCTGATTGCCAGGGCCCTCCGTTTCTACAACGTCCCCGAGAAGGTTATCAATATTATCCTACGGTACTTCTCCGGGGTATTCGGAAGGTTCTCCTCAAGAACGGTGACATCAGACTGGCAGCAGTTTGAGATAGGAATCTTCATGGGGTGTGTGATATCAGTCATCTTGTTTGTCTTGTGCATGAACCTTGGGCATGAACACCTAAAGTCTAAGGTTCCGAGAAGCATTGAGTACATCAAGGATGACACACCGATACCAACTCTGAAGCTGTTTATGGACGATAGCTGTCTGACGACCGCACGTGCAGAGGATATGCAAACGTTACTCAATGTGTTTCAGAAGTACGTGGACTGGTCCAGATTTAAGTTAAAGTCCTCCAAGTCCAGAGCACTGGTGTTGAAGAAGGGAGTGGCTGTGAGGTGGGTTGAGGAGGTAGTGGTAGGAGAGGAGGAGGTGGAGAGAGAAGAGTTGTGTTTGCAGTTGGGTGGTGAGGTGATTCCGAATGTGTCAGAGAAGCCGATAAAATTCCTTGGGAGATGGATAAGAGTGGAAGGAAATGACAAATCAGTCATCGACTCAACCAAGGTCGACCTTAACACTTTTCTTCGGAGACTCGATGAAAGTTCCCTTACTGGACTCCAGAAGTGCTGGGGATATCAGTACATGGTCCTTCCAAAACTGAAGTGGCCTCTTGCCATCTATGATATTCCGATCACAACAGTTACCAGATGGGAACAGAATACCAATAGTTTCCTCAGGAAGTGGTTAGGGGTGGGGCACACTCTGAGTGGTCTTTGTCTGTTCAGTCAAGCATCCAGTGTGGCCTTACCGGTGAGCAGTTTGACAGATACATGGAAGATAGAGAAGTGTCGACTGTTGCAATCCTATCAGACATCTAAGGATGACCTGATTAAAGCAGTCCAGCCACAAGTTCGTTCTGGTAGAGTTTGGAGGCCTGAGACAGAACTGGAAGAGGCCAGAAGAGATTTGGTCTGTGAATCGGTGCGAGGGATGGTGCAACCTCAAAAAAGAGTTGGCATCGGTTTTGGTGACTGGAAAAAACCTTGGGAGAGGATGGATGAGCGGGAAAGAGAGAGGGAGGTCATGCTGAGAGTGAAGGAGAACATTGAAAGAGAGAGGGAGGTGCAAGTAGGTTCTCTGGAGATGCAGAGCAGGTGGGGTGAGTGGAGAGAGCTCGTAATGAAGACGGATTTGAGCTGGCATACACTTTTTAAGTATGGTGACTCACTTATTGGGTTCATGCTAAGTGCTGTGTACGGCACCCTCTTAACCCCCTCTATGGTTTCCAAGTGGAGTGAAGATGAGGATGGGAAGTGCAAGTTATGTGAGGAGAGGATGGGCACCATTCAGCACATTTTGGCTGGGTGTAAGGTGGCCCTTAGTCAAGGAAGGTATAGATGGCGGCACGACAAGGTTCTGAAGCAGATATCTGAACAGGTTGTCTTCCATTGTGATCGCCGAGTGAACACTTATAAGAACAAGGCCGGCGATGGAAGACAGTTCATTGATTTTGTTCCTGCTGGGAAGAGAAAAGCAGGTACAGACGACCGGAAGGAGAGTCGTGGTTTTGGGATCCTGAGTGGGTATCGGGATTGGATAGTGCTGTCAGACCTTGAGGGGCAGCTTAAGTTTCCCAGTGAGATTGTGGAAACACGGCTGAGGCCGGACCTTGTGATATTCTCAAGGTCGGCAAAGACAGTTATTTGGTGGGAGCTAACAGTACCATCTGAAGAGCGGATCGCTGAATCGCACGAGTACAAGCTCGACCGATACAGCGGTCTGCAGGCTGAGATTCAGGCGAAAGGGTGGTGCTGTTATAATGCCGCAGTCGAAGTTGGAGCTAGGGGAGTGGTTGCGCAGAGTTTGGAGAGAGCTGCGAGGAGGATTGGTTTTAGGGGAAGAGAGCTGAAGAAGCTGGTACGAGACAGCGGGAAAGAGGCAGCCCACTGTTCCAGATGGATTTACTTGTTATCGAGAAAGAGGGAGTGGGAGTTCAGGAAGGTTGGAGCTTGAGAGTTCACTATAACATCTAGAGGTACCATAAACGTTATCTCGTCGCCAATTGCGAGCTCTAACGGGTCTCCTCAAGTGACTCTCGGATCAGATGGTGGTTCAAGGGTGGACTGCTGGGGCGCCTGACAGGAAAACCGTATTGCGATTAAAGCCCCGAAACGGTGTCAGGTTGGTAACTGATGATTCTGATCCATGCTCCTGTGAGTTTGCTGTTGTATCTCAACTCGCTAAACTGAGGCATCTCCGCATCTTGGGTGAATATGCGTACATCTTCATACTAAACCCAGGTGTGGCATGTGTCAGTGAATACGGGCGAGCGGATGCAATAGCGAAGGTGTGGCAAGGCCTAAAAGACACAGTCAGATAGTTGTCAGCTCGCTGACTGTAAGGGAGAAGGTATATCCGTATTTCGCTGCTACTGATGCAGTCCTTGATCTGGCAATCAAGGCTTCTCTGTTTTTCGTCTAACTATGTACCGTTGGGCTTGTGGAACCCGTAAGGGGGACATACATAGGTTAGAATGGTTTTGTGCACCAAGAGAAGTGAGGGAATGAGGGTTGAAGAGAGAGAGCTAGAGAGTTGTTAGGGTGGTTAGGATCAGTAGGTGGAGTGTTTGGTTGGAGCGTTCTGTTTTTGCTGTATAGCATTTTAGTCACTCCGCAGTTTATTAACTGTGTCTCAACTCCACATAGCCATAAAGCCGCATCCTCCCTACACTAATATAATTTCAGGGAAAACACGCGACTTAGGCTGTAACAGAAACCTTACAGGGTTCACCAGCTAGCAACGTGTAATACTGGTGTGTACTGTGTTAGTGTGTAATACTGGTGTGTACTGTGTTAGTGTGTAATACTGGTGTGTAGTGTGTTAGTGTGTAATACTGGTGTGTACTGTGTTAGTGTGTAATACTGGTGTGTACTGTGTTAGTGTGTAATACTGGTGTGTAGTGTGTTAGTGTGTAATACTGGTGTGTACTGTGTTAGTGTGTAATACTGGTGTGTACTGTGTTAGTGTGTAATACTGGTGTGTACTGTGTTAGTGTGTAATACTGGTGTGTAGTGTGTTAGTGTGTAATACTGGTGTGTACTGTGTTAGTATGTAATACTGGTGTGTACTGTGTTAGTGTGTAATACCGGTGTGTACTGTGTTAGTGTGTAATACTGGTGTGTACTGTGTTAGTGTGTAATACTGGTGTGTACTGTGTTAGTGTGTAATACTGGTGTGTACTGTGTTAGTGTGTAATACTGGTGTGTACTGTGTTAGTGTGTAATACTGGTGTGTACTGTGTTAGTGTGTAATACTGGTGTGTACTGTGTTAGTGTGTAATACTGGTGTGTACTGTGTTAGTGTGTAATACTGGTGTGTACTGTGTTAGTGTGTAATACTGGTGTGTACTGTGTTAGTGTGTAATACTGGTGTGTAGTGTGTTAGTGTGTAATACTGGTGTGTACTGTGTTAGTGTGTAATACTGGTGTGTACTGTGTTAGTGTGTAATACTGGTGTGTACTGTGTTAGTGTGTAATACTGGTGTGTACTGTGTTAGTGTGTAATACTGGTGTGTACTGTGTTAGTGTGTAATACTGGTGTGTACTGTGTTAGTGTGTAATACTGGTGTGTACTGTGTTAGTGTGTAATACTGGTGTGTACTGTGTTAGTGTGTACTGTGTAATACTGGTGTGTACTGTGTTAGTGTGTAATACTGGTGTGTACTGTGTTAGTGTGTAATACTGGTGTGTACTGTGTTAGTGTGTAATACTGGTGTGTACTGTGTTAGTGTGTACTGTGTAATACTGGTGTGTACTGTGTTAGTGTGTAATACTGGTGTGTACTGTGTTAGTGTGTAATACTGGTGTGTACTGTGTTAGTGTGTAATACTGGTGTGTACTGTGTTAGTGTGTAATACTGGTGTGTACTGTGTTAGTGTGTAATACTGTGTTAGTATGTAACAGAAGGCGCTAAATGTGACATTCAGTTTATGTGCGGTTAGTAAATATACATGTGGCCTGTGGCCGGATTGCTATATATAATAGGTTTACCAAAGCTGTAATTTACACAATAGTATGAAATGGCTAAAGGGAGGTGGTCTAAAATCGTCCAAATCTGGCTTGCGTAATATTACGTTAACAATCCCGGCCGGCGGCCGTAACTGTAAGGTAGCTATAATATACTATAAAACTAGCAGGGTACACTGGTGCCGTTCATTCAGTGACAAATCGAACTGAAACATAGATCTCAAAGATCAAGATCGTTCTTTCGGTTACATCGTATTTAATGAGTATTAAATGTATGCGTTAAATGATATTTCATTAATGCGCGATATTTAATGCTTGAATGTGTACAATTACAGGAACCAAATGGCTACGAACGGAAAGCATAACACAACAGTGTGATTTAAATGAACCTACCACAGCTACCCTCCCTACCACGCTGCACCACACCTACCCGCCCTATCACGCTGCACCACACCTACCCTCCTTACCACGCTGCACCACACCTACCCTCCTTACCACGCTGCACCACACCTACCCTCCTTACCACGCTGCACTACACCTACCCTCCTTACCACGCTGCACTACACCTACCCTCCTTACCACGCTGCACCAGTCACCACACCTACCCTCCTTACCACGCTGCGCCACACCTACCCTCCTTACCACGCTGCACCACACCTACCCTCCCTACCACGCTGCACCGTGCAATTAGTTTTCACTTTTTTGATATAAACAAATGAAAGATGATTTTAAGAGAAGTATAGCTCACAACACAAAGACACATTTTGTCTCATTTTTCTCACCGAGTCTTCAGTTCGACGCTCTGCAGCCAAAACCTGCACTTGGATTACTTAAACAAAGAACTCACAGATTAAATACTATTTCATTGCACACTTTTCAAGTTACAGAATTGAATGAAATGACTGAGCTGATTGGTTACAATTATAGGAAAAGTCTTATAAAAGTTTCATGAAGTTTTAAGCGCCCAAGAAGGTTTTAAACAACTCATTGCAATCTTTAAACCCTATGTTGAAACAACAAATTTGCTTGAAATGAAATACATTAAAGCCAGGTTATGGTAACATTTCAGACCATCTTCTAGAGTCACCAAGAGTTGAGCAACACTTACAGGAATAAGGACGGTAACACCGCAACAAGCATAATATATGTGCCGACATTAACACTTTCACGTTTCACGCCCAAGATTCAGATACTTACTTCAGGAGAACACAATTGATGTGTTAGTGGACATGCCAAGAGAACCTATGATATACTATCTGGTCTCAGCCTTATCAAACTTTCAAAAATTATGTCATAATTATGTTTAAATAATTATGTTGTATTGAAATGACATTGCGATTAAATTTCATAGTCGCAGCATGGTGATGTAATGAAGCTATGTTTAGAGAATGAAATAACATGTGTCAAATAAAGAGCTCTGTTGTCTATAGTCACGCCTTAATTCCACAACATGCGACGCGTTTTGAATTTATTCTACACAGTACACAGTCATATCACAGTGTCTTTATTGGTCGATTAAGTTAACTGGCAAGTACTAAGTTTAAAAAACAGGTAAATAACAAATTATTCTCTACCTCAGGTGAGATGTAGTCTGGTGTTCCCACCGCAGTGCTGGATCTAATAAGACCGTCCTCGTCCACCCTCATACAGGTCCCAAAATCAGCTAACTTCATGTGACCCCTGACGTCCAGTAACATGTTGTCTGGTTTGACATCCCTGAGAAAAAGATAATGAGTCACGTGGGATACAGCCATTCCACTTAATGTGCAACATTAGGCAAATTGGTTTTATTCTTTTATGTGTTCCCGAAAAAATGCACTGCCGAGTGGCGTGTCTGTTAGGTAGGCTCGGTATTGATGTCACATGCCCTCCAAGAGACACTCACCTGTGAATGAAGCCCAGTTCGTGTACGACATTGAGCGCAGCAATTAGCTCGGCCGTGTAAAACTTGGCCCATTTTTCCGAGATCTCGTACTGAGACATGAGGTTGACAAGATCGCCGCCCGGCATGTACTCCATCACCATGTAGAGGTAGCGTGCGTCTTGGAACGCGTAGAATAACTTGATTATCCACTCGCTCTCCGAGAAGGCCATGATGTCGCGCTCCTCCCAGTAATACGCGGTGTCTGATCTCTTGAGCTGTGTGGGGGGTAAATGTTTACTTTTCTTGTGCCCAGACACGGGCCGGGAGAAAGGAAAAATGTTAACCTAGACCCTCTCTTCTCTTACGGCTTCCAATAAGAGCATTATCACGTTTTACACCGGACAACATCTTACTCTGACTTGTTATGTAGGTATGCTGATATATTTATATATTTATAATATTCATGTGCAGTACATTATATGCTATATATTCCAGTACATACGCATTCCTCTAAGGCTGTAAGACAGTATTAAGCTCGATATTTTAATAGGTGTGGATAGTGAGACCATGTGTCAACGAATCCCTAAAAATTTTGAACGTGAAGTACTTCACTGGCACACCGGTGTCGGGAGAGAGTGTACCCTTCTGAGCAGTGCTAAATTATTTAGAATGCAGTGCAAGGCCGGAGTGTGTCCGGCTCTGCAACCGGCTAGCCAATCACAACTCGTTATATCCTGTCAGGTGTGCGAGGAGAACGAGTGAAGAGACGACGTGGTAAATGTCACGTGGCATCTACAGACTGCACGACATGAACAGTGCAGTGTTAGGATGTTTCATTTAATTAAGCCAATATATAATAGACATTTGTATTTTGTATATCTATACCTAAGTTGTTCAGGACACCTATGTACTGTCATGTAGGTAGTATATAATGGTCGATACAAACCAGTCGAACTGCTGTAAAACAAGCACCTTGAAACTTTCATCCATCTAACATCTTTTAACACGGGTTGTAAAATTAGTATTATATATAATTAACGTTACAGTAATTACATATTTAATAGCAAGGGAAGCAGCAGTGCAGCGGGTATGTGCGGTGTAATATTATCATATCACAGCACTTCCAGTCTGGGTGAATGTATAATTATATGTGCGACGGCCACGGTGCACAGTGCACACACACCCTCTCTCTCTCTCTCTCTCTGTAGAGAGCCAGGACAGAAAGAGAGAGAGAGAGAGTGCCTTGTATAGCTACTTATCACCTGAGACCTGAGTAGCCTAGCTGTAGTTTTTACACTGTGCAAGGTTAGCGACAAGGCGGTCTCGGCGATAGCTACTGGAAAGAAATACCAGCATAATATTGAGTTCTGTTATAATGTACTTCTTTTATTCAATAGAAGTGACTAGGACAATGCAGATGGGCGACATGGTCTTATGAAGAGTCTTATCTAAGCTGCGATCAATAAAACAATGCCGGCGACATTCCAAGGAACTTAGATGTTTAATAATCTAATGAATTCCATTTATTTAAGTCAACAATGATCAATTATAGCATGAACAGGGACTGAAATAATTGTATCGATATAAAAATTGATTTCAAAGAAGTAAGATTATCCCTTGGCCTTGTCTATTCACTAGTAATATCGAAAAACTACACATTTAAATCCGAATTAAAAAGACTATGGCCCTCAGATTATACTAGGATGACGTATAGAATTATTTAATTTGCGAAGTTCTCACCATTTCAGATTTGCTGAGCAGCTTCATGGCATAGATCTGCCTATTCTCCCTGTGCCTCACCTGATAAAATGGAATTGATATAGATCATAGATGGATTGTACCATAAATCTAAACTATACCTTTTAAACTTCACTGAAATTAATACAAAAGTACAGTTCAAACCGGCAAAATCAATTTGCTTTACACAGAGAATGACAATACTGATAATGTTCTAAGTGTTCTTACCACTTGCACTTCGCCAAAGGCACCTCTTCCAATGATTTTGCATTTCTGAAAATCACTGTAACGGGTCCTAAATCCCTTAAGATCTTCGAAAGGCTCCTCATCTGGAATTTTTAACTTGTTATTTGTGACAAATTCGGTTATAAAAAGCAATTTTAATCGCTATTAAACAAATTCCACATTCTTACCGCTTTCACCAGTGTGAAATAATAATAAATTCAAGGAGATCTTGAGCCAGAGGAGAATTTGGGCTGAAAACTTACATCGTTTGAGGAAGGCCTTGAAATTCTTGTTTCGTCTTAGAGCAGGATTATCGAGCTCTGATGCGATAGCAGAGAAAGAATCCTGAAAGGAATACGAAACTATAGTTTAAAAAACTGAATTGCTACTTCTCAATTAATTTGTCACGAATAAAGCTGATATATTCAAAATTTTGAAATTACAAATCTACTACAAATGAATTAAAAAACCAACCAAGAAAGTTTCGATGTGTAATCTGTGCTTGTTGTTAACCAATACATCTTCTAACTCTGGATTAGTACTACACATCTTGTGAGGCCAGCTGGCCTTCTTCTTTCAACTGCTCAACGGATCATGGCTATAAATGATTCAAGTCAATCGATTAATTCAATAGGTCCAATTCTCATGTATCATAGACAACTGTCATGATTTTCACATACTTTTAGACTTCTTGAGAAGGTTGCAGAATCCAATGTTGATTTTAGAATGACGCAAAACCAAAATGTATGCAAAACATGTTCATCATTATTTGTTCATTATACCAATTTCATATCCGGAAATATTAAATTGAGAGTTATATTTGTCAAGAATACATCTGATACATTCCACTTGCGTTGATATAACATCATCCAAAAGTGATGGTCATGTTTATTTTATCAAATACAAGATAAATGGGAAACATAAACATAAAATAGTAATGAGGTCTCATTTTGTGCATGACAATTCCTCCTTTACCTTGTAAACTTTTGACAAAGGGTCGTTGATGGCTTACATGTCCAGCTTGGGAATGGGAACAAGGTCTACATTGAGGAAACAGAACTTGTGGATGAATTTGTGTGGACAAAACATCACGCTTAAATAATAATTGTAAAAACGACCTGTGCCAACTTTTCAATCTAGCAAGATTGCTGAATTCTGATAAATATTTTGTAGAAGGAATGTGATCAGCTATATACCTCGGTGCTTTTCCCCCGCAATGGTGACAACCGTACTTGTGACCAAGTTCTTGTACAATTTGCTTTTTGTGTTTTGTAACATGAGTTGATGTTAGGGCTAAATACTCAACAGCAAAGGATCCTGGAAGTATAATGTGGCTTGGAAGAACAGTGCGGAGGTTCTGTTTATATCCTTGTTTATAGATCCCTAAATTAACCACAGCTGAGCATATCATAGTTTCATAAGATGTATGAAAGAGCGGCATATCTTTCTCTGACTCCTTTTTTACCTTTCTATGTACAAAGTTGGTCACGTTTACCATGGTAACAGTTGACTGTACAAATGCAGTAGATAAAACTAAACCTCCAAGGACTGATGAGACAATAGGAAGACCACTGTGAATTCTGCACATCTTAAACATGTACTGATAGGCTCTAATCTGAGCAACATAAATTAGGCATCCAGCAGTAGCCCCAGAGGAGATTGAAATCAGATGTGATCTTTTAATTGGGTTTCTGATCTTCTCGTTTGACATTAAAGTATCTGGCAATGTGTATTTAATCGAGTGAGATTAAAATAAATATTTCAAATAATAACAAGATAGAAGAATTATTCAAATTAAGACTAATTGAGGATGATTCAACTTTTTATAGTAATTGTCAACTACAAAATTTCACATCTTTTCATGGTATAATATTAATTTTTGGGATCAGCAGGGAAAAACCAACAAATTTAAATACATTATCAATTATATTCGATAATGGTATATATTACATATATCCTATACACAGAGCTAGAGGAGGCATAGGAAGAGAAATTTTGAGAATCTTGTACTGACCTTATCATTGCAAATAATGATAAATAAAAAAGCTTTGACAGTGGGTATGCTTTAGTTTTAAGTTCAATTCAATTGAATTATTAAGTTTGATGTGATCTCAAATCATTTGAAACCTAATGACTTTTACTATAGTATTGACTATCGTTAACAGTACACTACAATGTAAGTGTACTGAAGGGGTACCCTAAGATAATACCGATTTGTTGGCAGGGCCATTGGCGAAGTGTACGTAGCTGTATGAGCTGCCCCTTGGAAGAATTTTATACCCCCAAACATTTTTTCACCTTGTCCAAATTTTCAAGTGGATGGGATAATAAACAAGGCAGACTTTTAAAAATTACCTGAAATTTAGAAATATGCCGCCCCCAATCATTACGTTGGGCAGCCATTACACCATTGGGGATGCCCCCACTCATGTAACCCTCGATCATAGTTTCCCATCACTCGGCTGAGTCAATCAAGGAGATGTGTAATTTCGCACACAAATGTGTAATTTCGCATGGACCTGATGGAACCCTTAGCTAACCTTCTCAACTGAGTGACACTGATATTAGTGGCGTAACGTTGAATTTAGGCACTCCTTAATGCTTTTGCTAAAAGTTTAAATTTTAAGTCATAGATCAAGCTTCTTAATTTTAAAATTTAAGAATAATCTTTTACCCTAACTATGATGTGGTGACATTTCATGCTTAACTAAAATTCAACTTTGAAATTAATAGATTATTAGTTACGACAAAATTATAGTTTAAAACATCCATTCTGGGCAGTGTTTACAATATTATAATTTATGATAATAATAATCGGGGGGGGGGGGGGGGGGGGGGGGGGGGGGGGGGGGGGGGGGGGGGGGGGGGGGGGGGGGGGGGGGGGGGGATCATACACTTAGTACCGGACATGACGTTGGTGGGTGGGTCATTTTTTCTCCCAAAAACACAGTTAGTACATGGTACTAACTGGTGGGTCTACTGCCCATTTTCCAGAAAAACAGTTAGTACATGGTACTAAGGGGTTCATTTTTTGGGTGTCCAACCCCAGAAAAACCATTTTACCTCTAATTTCAATTTTGGGAATGGGTTTTGAGGTTTTTTTGAGTTTTTTTTTGGGTTTTTTGTAATTTTAAAATTTGTTGTGTAACTTTTTTATCTAATTCGACTACATTGAAAACAAAACCCCTACTAAATAGTGGGTATAATTTTCCCATTTCCAATGTTTAATGAGCTGTTTTAAAGCAATTTATGGGTGGGTATCTTATTCTATATACCAAAAAACAGTTAGTACCATAATTTTTCGACAGTTAGTACCGCAAACGGCGGCAAAAGGGGTGGGTGTCTTACGTATTATCCAAAAAGCAGTTAATACCGCAAAGGGGGGTGGGTGGGTCTAGTGAAAAATATCCAAAACTAAACTTAGTCGACGTGATGTCCGGCACTTGGTACCTGATTCCCCCCCCCCCCCCCCCCCCCCCCCCCCCCCCCCCCCCCCCCCGTAATAATAATGATAATTCTATACAGTTACATAATTGAAACAAGTATGGCCCCTTATTTATGATATGTATTGATTGAATAATTGGTAACAAATGTAACATAACATAACATTATAAATAATGCCTCTCTGGGCATCTCAAAAAGAAATTCACAGAAAATGAACACTTTACGTTTGAAACCATATAATAATTACAAACTTTTAAAAATTTTCAACTAAATACCTTTTATATTAACCTTCTTCCTCTTAGCTACCAATGGATTCTCTTTCATATAACTTACATAACTATTCCTATTAGACACAGACACAGCTAACAATATCAATAACAATCTTGATGCTGAAACCACCAATAAATATTTTGCTGAAATAGGTCCAAAGATCCAAGCAGAAGTGCAGCTGGAAAATGAAAATGAATTTCTATCTTATCTACAAAATGAGCAGATTGACAACGAGACCAGCTTGAATAGCTTTACTGAAATAACTGAGTCCAATATCTTAGACTATGTGGCAAGTATCCCTTGTAGCAAATCCACTAATGATCATATACCATTGAGAGTGTTTAGACAAATTTTACCTGCATTTATTGCTCCATTAACACATCTTGTAAATTTGAGTTTATCCAGTGGCATCATGCCAAACAGCTGCAAGGTTGCAAAAGTCACCCCAATCCATAAGGATGGTGATACTGAGAACCCTAGTAATTATCGACCAATCTCAATTTTACCGATTCTTGGAAAGTGCATCGAATTTTGTGTGAACTCCCAACTGACTCAATATCTTGATGAAAAGGGAATACTTTCAGAGCATCAATATGGTTTCCGTAAAGATCACTCTACAACTTATCTCATGTTAGATCTGTTTGATCGTATATTTACTGCTAAGAACAGTGCCAAGCATCCTGCAATTATCTTCCTGGACATCAGAAAGGCATTTGATACTGTTAACCATGATATTCTAATTCAAAAGCTGAAGCATTATGGAATAAAAGATACTGCATTGAGCTGGTTTAGGAGCTTCCTCACAGATAGATTACAGCAAACTAGAGTTGGAGTAGGATAAGCAGTGTACATTCATTGAACTCTGGAGTGCCTCAAGGAAGTATATTAGGACCAATTCTATTCAGCATTTTTATCAATGACCTGCCTAATGCATGCCTATTTTCTAAACCTTATCTATTTGCTGATGACGGTGCATTATATTTTGACAATATATCTAGAGGAAACTATGGTAACATCAAACAAGAGTTGAAATTAGTTATCAGATGGCTTCAGGCTAATAAACTATCCCTGAATAATGAAAAAACAAAACTAATGATCCTTGACTCTAAGCCTAACCTTGATGCCATCCTTGTTGAAATTTGTGATGACCTTACTTTGGTAATCTGTGAAACTAAATCCCATAAGTACCTTAAACTTATAGTTGACAGCAGATTGACATTTAATGAACATATTGATAACATTAAGAAAAAGATATCCAAAAGAATTGGTGCTATGTATAGATCAAAAAAAACTTCTCCCTCTTAAGTTCAGGAAGATGTTTGCTAATGCACTTATGTTGCCACATTTTGACTACTTAGACACCATCTGGTCAAGAACATATAAAAAACGACTAGGAGAGTTAGATATCATGTACAAAAAGGTTGCTAAAATAGCCCTAGATGTAAACATCAGAGAGAGGTCGGTTAATGTATACAAAAATATGGGATGGCTTCCTCTCCATTTGAGACGACAGGTTCATCTTAGTTCATATATACAGTACCGTATAATCAATGAAACATGTCCAAAGCATTTTATCGGGAAATTCTCGTATATTTCTGGTGGATCACGTGAGGCAGAAAACTGCAATCTTTATACTCCTAAATCAAGATCTCACAAGGAGTTTAACTATCTAGGAACCAAGGCCTGGAACATATTACCAAAGTCCCTTAGAGAGTGTGACGACGTTAAGAAATTTTCTAAGTTATACAAAGAAACTCTTATGAATATGGTGCTAACTGATGAGAATTACCAAGGGGATAACTCTTACGATAAATTCATGATCCCACCCAACACTAGCCAATGTATCTAGGCAGTTATGTTATTTCAGTTAAGTTATCTCAGTACATAAGTGAATCC